TGTAAGGAGATGTGCACCTTTCTGTATTGTGCCATTCAAAACATGTTCTATGTATTCATCCATAAGGAGATGTGCACTTTTCTGTATTGTGCCATTCAGAACATGTTCCATTTATTCATCCATGGTTAGTTGCAAGTTGTAAGGAGATGTGCACCTTTCTGTATTGTGCCATTCAACACATGTGCCATTTATTCAACCATGGTTAGTTGCAAGTTGTAAGGAGATGTGCACCTTTCTGTATTGTGCCATTCAAAACATGTTCCATTTATTCAACCATGGTTAGTTGCAAGTTGTAAGGAGATATGCACCTTTCTGTATTGTGCCATTCAAAACATGTTCCATTTATTCAACCATGGTTAGTTGCAAGTTGTAAGGAGATGTGCACCTTTCTGTATTGTGCCATTCAAAACATGTGCCATTTATTCATCCATAAGGAGATATGCACTTTTCTGCAGGATATATTCAAAATTATATATAAGATGGCTTAGAAATGACACGTGTCACTGATATATCTGAAATATATTTTACTTATTTCCTTTCTGTTCCTATTTTAGCATCATTCGCATGTGGGTCAACCATCGAACTAAAAAAACATCAGCAATAAACATTTGTTATGTTTTCGGCGCTAATTGTTTTTATTTGTCAACACCACATACGTTGCTTGTGTATGATCTGCTTGTCAAGTGCTTGTCTCGTTACTTGTAATAAACGCGGAAGTTGGTGAGCGCCACCAACGACACGGACTAACTATTTACGTCGATGTAGTGACGTCATGGAGTGAAAGGTCAAATATTCTTTGAAAATGGCTGCTGTGTTGAGAATCGAAACTGTATTTTCCTCGTAAAAAGCAACAGTTCTCTCTGAAATGCAAAAATATTGGTGGAAATGACTATTGCAGTGATAATTTGTACACTATTAACTGTGTGTATATAAGTTGTTTTTACTGAAACATATCTGCAATTGTGCGTGGAGGTGAGTTAAACACACGACATTGCACAGCTTTAGTGTTTACGCCTGTGACGTGTCGTAGGAGGCAAACATGAAAATGTGTTTTTGCTTAATTATTTTTTTTTTATTTCAGCGTGAAAGTACAATTTCTGTCATTATCTCACATTAGTACCTTGCGTCATGTGTAATAGCTGTTTATTTTATGCCGTTTTTGTTGTGTTACGCCTCCGTAACGCGTCTAAATATGACTCCAAATCCTGAATATCAGTTTTTAATTATATTAAATAATCTGTTTTATAACTACACAACCAACCAGTGATTGGGGTCTCGTATATATTTTGTAGTTCTGTAATTCGTTTACCATTATTCATACATTTTGCTTCGTATTGCTTCACTATACACCTTCCAAATTCCATGACTATACTTTCTGAATGATGGTAGTGATGTTTGTTAATTGTGTAATGTTATTATACATCCATGATGTGGTTTATGGTTGGTTTATACATTTAAAAAAAAAATATTTACCAACAATTGCAACACCAGGGATTTTAACGTTAGCACTGGAAATGAATATAATTTTGTAATAGTCTTTGCGTCATCCTATTAACAATCAGTTTTGAACATAGAGGGCATAACAAAAGTCTCACTATTTTGTTTGAACATAAATCAACATTTATAAAAATTGATAAATTTATTTGCAAGATAACAACCAATAACTGAACAACACTGAGTAGTTTTGGTAGTTAACAACGTCTTAGGGTGCCATCAAGTTATTGAATCGCATGTGGGATTCTCTGTTTCGGTATTGAAGATGAGCTATATTACAAAAATAATATTTATGAACAATTTTTCATTAAAATTAGTCGTAAAATGAACACCACACTCTTGAGTTTCCTGTATAACCATTAGGGCCCTTCTGTTGAATTATAGGATGAATGATTAACTCTTTTTCTTAGTGCATCTGAGCGAACTTTGATAATTATGTACTGCCAACATTATGTTGTAATTATTTAGTACACTCTAGATGTAGAATTCTGCTTGCAATTTATGACAGCATTTATTATAGTGAAGAAAAATAATATGATGCAATGATGGCAACTTTCAAATTAGATTTTGTTTTTGTCCAAGTTACTTTATATTGAAATGGCTTTCATCTAACTTTCCCCTATCAATGAGTAAACACCATCCTATTAAAATCAATACATTTATTATATCACTACTTGTACACTAGCTGACTGTTCATTGCGTACCTGTATTCTTTGTTATATTCTGCCCAGCATAAAACAAACCCTCAGATGAGAGAGTCAGTAAACCTACATATTTCACTGTTAAAAGATCAAAAACCTGTCAAGTAGTAGACAATTTACAACTAGTAATATTATAGTCTTCATTGTATACCGAATTTACAATACCGGTAATTACTTAAGCATTGGTCAAGATTTCTTGGAAAACCTCATTAGGTTGAAGAGCAGAGAAGAAAACTCACATATTGGTCTTCCCAATGTCATGTCATTCACATTGGTATTAAGCATGACAGTTTGTTCCATTTCTTATTTTTTTCAGATTTAAATAATTTTCAAAGATGGGTATAAAGGTTTTAGAAAACATGAAGGGTTTTATAATAACCCGCCCTCCACTGGTTGTATTTATTATGTGTGTTGGTGCTTTTGCCATTGCCATGGTATCATTAGCATACTATGTAAAAATACACGAGATTCAGAATCCAGATATCACGCAGGTAAAGATTATATATTTTATCCTATCACAGTAGTGTACTGTGTACATCTCTATATTGATACTTGTTTGTATACACTATCACAGTTGAAACACTGAAAATAAAATGAAATAACATTAGTTACATTTACATTATTTAAGCATACCAGTTTGTGTATGCTAGTAAGCATTCAATACTGAATTGTGTTTCTGACAAAGGAAAGAATGATTCATTTCCCTCTGTTAGGAATTTAGATTGTAACAGATTTGTGCAATTGTAAGTTACTCTTTCTTTATATTATTGATGTATGTATGCATATGTATAGGAGATATTCAGATTGTTGGTAGTATATCTGATTTGAAGTGTCTTATAATATATGATGGGATTTACATGTATATAATATAGCCATGTAATCCAATCACATTTGGGTCTTATTCAGAGTGTGTGTGGTCCATTCAAATAAAATGTATGTTGTACATGTATCTTTCTTTTGTTCAAAAGATCTTGATTGAATATTGAAAATTCTACTCAATATTGGTCTGCTTGTTCTAAAAATTATTGTTTTGCCTTAAGAGTGTTCAAACACGATCAACAAAAATAGCCTAAAAATATGGCCTCTGATCAGTGCAAAGGGAGTTGACTACTAAAGTCATTTGATCCTGCTGAATGTTTTAATTTTGGATTGTATGTTTTAATTTAAATGTATTTGTGGTCATTACGGCATTGACTTTGGGCAATTCAAAGATAATAATAAAACTAGGTGCTAATAATACTAGCTAACAGTGAAGCACTTAGGCAATTGCATTTTCATATATTTTATTGTAGAATGTTGCCTTAGAGAAAATTTTTAAATTGAATTTACCTCTAAACACAATTTAAGGTAGCGACACATGTTTGTGGCTAATTTTAAAGGTTTTTTGGGGTGATTTTCTGAATCTATATCAAATTATCCAAATAATAGAGTACAAGTTACAGTTACATGTATGAAATTACGTTTAGAAAATATGATAAAAAACACATATGTGTCAGGATCTATCGATTTGGTTGTACTGTTCGCAGATAACAACAGATTACGATAAGCAATATTTAGGAGACACTGCGTTCGGTTTGGCTCATGCGCAAATCACTCACAGGATTTTGAGTGTGACTTTCAGTTGCACTTCCCTATTTGAAAGTAAAGCATCGCTGTTAACAATGCCTGGCAAATTCCAAAAGCGCAAACGTGGTACATCAAAGGAGATGTCCGCCCTAAAACTTAAAAACACCTGAAATTTCTTGTTCGAAGACTATCTGTTTCAATTACTGGTCGCCTCATTGCAGTCTATTGGAGAGAAAAAAAAGCAGACAGAAGACTAAGGTGCCAGTCTGTGAATGATTAAAAAACTGCGCAATTGATTCTTTTTTTTTTTTTGCCAGACAACCAGGTTCAAGTTGGCCTAGGTTGATGATACACACTCACACGCTAGTTGAACCACGCTGACTCCAGTGATGTAAAATTGCACGACATCTTCAAGCAGCATTTGACAATTGCTGTATTGGATATTATCAGTGTTCTGTTAAGCTCCTTATCCGGATCACATTTTACATTTCACCAAAACAAGCGATAACTGTGTCTTCGCTTTGAATTCAAAACAAGCGAGTATGCTCTTGTCCTCGCCTTGAGTCACACGCCCTAGATCATCGACTTGTCTTGTTCTACAATTAACCTACATCAACAATATTGTTTGCAGATACATTACAAGTTAAGTGTAGATTGTCCTGTAAAAAAACATGGCTGTATTTATAAAGGATTGAAAATGGTCGCCATAATAAAACATTTTCAAATGTTTTTTTTTTTCCCAAATATCCTTACAAAAAGAACTGTAAAGGTTAATCGGGCATAATATCAATGATTTTTGCAAAAATCATTATTGCCAGAAAATTTTAAACCGTATCTGTGATGCGCAAAACATATTTGTTACAAAACTGATGTTTTCTCCAATTTCATTTTTTTTAAAATGATTTGGTCCAAATTATTCACGTTGGACTATTGTAAATGCTGTGTTTTGAAAAAAATAATTTGTGAAATAAACAGTCAGCTGCTCATGCAGCACATTCACATATGCAAAGTAGACGTCAATTGTTTAAACTATTCAACATGTAAATCAGAGTTACAAGGCTGAGAGTGACAAAACTAACAAATGCGTCTTTTTAGAAAAAAACAAAATGTGAATTGTGTGTAGAAAGTTGTTCTATGTATATGAGCTGACCACCTGCTGATCTATTCCTGACTTTTGTAGAAGTTTAATAAATAAATAAATAAAGCTCTATTGTTAGGTGTTTCCTGAAAGTCTAATTGGTCGTCTACTAATATCTTTTATGACATGTTATCCATCTACGTTTGCTAATTACTGTGAGGTTTTGCAAAATAAGCACAAAGGCAGTTTAGTAATTGGAAGATAAGTGCTCATGCACACTTTGTTATCCAGTGCTGAGGATCTGGACTGGGTCTTAAAAACTCATACCGGGTAATTAGCGTTTCTTAGCCCATGCTAAGCGTTGCTTCAAGTTCTTAGTATGGGCTGACGTTTTTGACTGCTTAGCTTATGCTTATGAGCCATGCACAAACATAACTACTATGAATAATAATAAGCACAAACGCAGTATAGTAATTGTGGAGGACAATGTGATCCTGTATTGCTGTACCTGGATTCTTTTTTTCTTTCAAGCGATATATTGCTACAGCCTTTGATGTTAGCAAGGAAAAGTGTTTTATATGGTATATGCTCAATGACTCAAATATGGAAAATTTTGAATGTCAGAATGGATAAAGATGTGATTTGAACAAATGCAAATGGTAAACAGTAATTCAGCTAAATTTGTTAATACAGAAAATTTACAATAGTCACCTACTCTTATGATTGAGCCTCTTGATTAAATCAGAATTTCTAAATGGTCAGTGATGTCAAATTTTAATTTTTTTGTTAAAACATTTGTCGCTTCACAAAATAATTTATATGTATGAAATAATAAAACTAAATATAGAAATTATTTATTATGTATATTTATTGTTTGTATGTGTGTTATTATGGTTCAGATAATGTGACCACTAATGAAACCCAATTCCCATTACCAAAGTCACTTTGTGACACATGAAAAAACCCACTTGTATTGAATCCCTTCATCTATACATGAAACTGACTTATGGATATCTTGCAATAGCAGAAAATTTAAATTCTAAAATATTATTCTGAAAATAAATTATTAATTCTTTCTATGATTTTGCTTAAAAACAAACCTGGGTCCAGATGTTACAGTTTTTGTGTACTCCTGCTGTTCAATGCTTTCCTAGTTAATTATACATTATTCACAGTAACTCGTGTGCATGCAGTGCAATACATTTTATCCATGGTTTACTATGTGATATTGAAAATTCACCATGTTTTGTAGATTAACAGTGAGTAATAAGATAATTTACATATTTACATTATTTTTTCAGGATTGGAATACATTCCTTGATAATTTTTCTGAAATGAAATTCTGTGCATCACGTAACCATTCAGAAGACCATTGGAATACTATGGACAATACTTCAGCAATGGTTCCCTCAGTCTCTACAAATGGAGCATTACATAAAGATATTCTAGAATATGAGGCTGCTAGAAATTACTCATTTATGATCAGATTGGTTATTAAGCCCACATCAACATTTGTGGCATTTCCACACAATGTGACCCATTTCATGGGCAGTCTCTATGGTTATCAGCTAGGTTTAGAAGGTATGTATGCTACAGCATGTACATATTGTGAGTATCTTTACTATTATAGGCAGGTAGTTCAGTAACTATCGCTAATATAGTACAAATAATTTATTTTACATATTTTAAAATCTCGTGCTGTATTATTTGTTATTACTGCAGGATATTCACTATTCATTTGCACCACCATAGGTTGTTATAGTAGCATATTTAGTAACTTTTAGAGGATATTTCCCCATTTTTAACACATTATCCCGTGTTGCTACCTTGAATTATTGACAGGGACTGTGTTATTTACAATGACTTGTTTTACAAACTCCACTCTCCTCCACTTGATTGTCATGTGTCTGTTAACAACAGGTATTGATGCAGAGGAACAGGTGAATATTACCTTTGAGTTACCCGAAGGATGGCATGGTCAGAGATGTGCCAAAGACAGGAAAGGTCAATGTAAACCAATTGAATTTACTTCATGTGTGACAATGGTAGCATCACCCACTGTTTTTCCAACAACAAGGTAATTGTTCTATTACTTGAACAGATTAAAATTTGGTGGTTATTGTTGGGAAAAGATTGACCAGCTTTTTATTATTCTTAGGGGCGGAGCTATGTCACGTTGTATGTTGCTAAGTTTTTGGACCAGTGTTTACTCCTATAGTAGTTGCCTGACAGCGAAAATGCCTGGACGTTTTCTTGAGAGAATAGTAATGTTCATATAGGCTAGATGATCACGTCTCATTTTTTTTTTTTATCCTCTTTTGCTTTTTTAGCTACAACCAAATAACTATGAACATGTATGTACCACCGACAATTCATGCAGCATGTCTGTAGATATTTGGGTGTAACTAGAAAACAGAAGAATATTAAGGATACACAATGTACAAGATGTGATCGTCTGGCCTACAGTGTTACATACGCCATGTGCAATTCACAGGTCAATTATATGACTGAAATCTGTGTTTCCAATACTGTAAAATTATTAATTTTTGCTGCTATTTTGGGTGCTTTGTATGAAATTTATTTTCACTTGTTAAATGTAAAATATAGGAAAAAAGGTATATTCTCTTGCAAAAAATTCCAAGTGTAAAATTGGTCATTGGGTAATTCTTTAGACAGACCTTGGGTACAGTTTATGCACTACTGTATATATCTAAGCTTTCAGATGCTGTATACAGTACTCATTTCGCCCAGCCTCCCGCCCGCTTCCGGATTTCGATCGCTTTTTTTTCGCTCGCTTTGTTCAATTCGACCGCGCAATTTCCGC